CACTAAAGACTAAATAACGTGAACTGTACCTTACACCCTTGGGGGCCCGGCCCCATGGGTTTTTGCCTTCACGTGCAAAAAAAAAATTTTTTAAAAACTGATTGTTGACTACTTACTGAATTAAGTTGTCATTTTTTTGTCCCAGAAAAACTGATTAATATTACAGCTTTTATTAAGTTAATAAATTGCGAAAAAATATAAATTGGGGAGTGGGTTATAAGTAGTAAAAAGAGTGAAGGGAAGTTTTATGGTAAATTTTTAAGTTAAATACTAACTCAAGTAAATACAATATTTTATGTGCTGTAAAATTTTTTGGCAAAATCGGATACTTTATTTTAGACTCACAATAAAGTACCAGATGTTGCACATGGGTTTTTTAACTTTCATATTGTCGGTATTTTATACCTTTCTTGCACAACTTAAAATTTTAGAGAGGCTAATTCTTCTTTTATTTATTTTTGAAAGTTTTTTTTTTTTTAAAAACATTTAAAATTGTCTTGGGTATAAGACACAACATTCAAACAAGTGTTTAGTGGCGCTACGTTTTGTTAAGGAATTAAGTTCATTAGACTCAATAATAGACTGCTGAGTAAATTATCTGTGAACAGTCTTACTTGCTGCTATGACGACTCTACATGTAATATTCGTCTCTTCTTTTTATTATGTAGTGATTTCACGAATTTTAAGAACTTCAACAAAAATGGACCAATCTTTCAAGTAGCTTTAACATATTGTTTGACAGATATTTGAGAGAGAATGTTGGGAAACACCTTATGAGCAAAGAAGAAAACTTTTGCTGAAATGCTGTATAATTTGCACACTCTTATCCACTGTGTGCTGATGTTGTGGACGATCTAGCGCGCTTATGATATAAGAAACATCCGAAGTGAATTATCACAAGTCTTCAACAACCCTTGATAACTAGAGATAAATCTAAAAAATACTACGACGTCATTTCCACAGGGAGACACATATTGTTTTTCTAAACTTTGAAAATCAATTTTTCAGCCAATTGATTACAGTTAGCGTTTGGAAATATAATAAAATAAAGAAAAAGTAAGCATATTTGTACTTCCATTATGGTGGCCTAAAACAACAATAAGATCGTTATTCCAGTTTGTAAAACATCTACACGCGTATGTACATAGACATGAAATAACACACACACACTTAAACATTTTTTTTTTCAACCAGTCGGTCGTCTCCCACCTAGGCAGAGTGACCCAAAAAGAAACAATATCCCCATAAAGAAAATACTTTCATTATCATTCAACACTTTCACCTCACTCATACATAATCACTGTGTTTGCAGAGGTGCTCAGATACGACAGTTTAGATGTCCCTCCAAACTGCCAATATCCCAAACCTCTCCTTTAAAGTGCAGGCATTGCACTTCCCATTTCCAGGACTCAAGTCCGGCTACATAAAAATAACCGGTTTCCCTGAATCTCTTCACAAAATATTATCCTGCTCACACTCCAACAGCTCGTCAGGTCCCAAAAATCATTCGTCTCCATTCACTCCTAACACGCTCACACATAGTTGCTGGAAGTCCAAGCCCCTCGCCAACAAAACCTCCTTTACCCCCTCCTGCCAACCTCTTCGAGGACGACCCCTACCCCGCCTTCCTTACCCTACAGATTTATATGCTCTTCAAGTTATTCTACTTATTCTAAATGACCAAACCACCTCAACAACCCATCTTCATCCCTCTTAGTAATACTTTTAGTAACTCCACACCTCCTAATTTCCACACTCCGAATATTCTCCATAATATTTACATTAAACATTAAACATTGCCATTAGGCAAGACATATCCACTGCCTACAGACGCCTCTTCGCTGCATCATTCACAACCCAAGCTTCACATCTATATAAGAGAGTTGGTACCACTATTCTTTCGTACATTCCCTTCTTTGACTCCATGGATAACGTTTTTTTTTGTCTACACAGATACCTCAAAGCACCACTCATCTTTTTTCCTTCATCAACTCCATGGATAACGTCATCCTTCATAAACCATCCGCTGACAAGTCAACTCACAAATATCTGAAAACATTTACTTCTTCCAATCTTCCCCCTCTCAAATTTATATAAATTTTTTTTTATACAAATCGTTTTACCCTCCACCTTATTCTTATCTATGTTCATTCAATTTTTCTCCCTTTTTGAAAACCCTCCACTAACCTTTGCAACTTTCTTTAGAATCTCCCAAAGCACAGTATCATAGCTAAAATCTGTGTCAACTCCCTTTTTTATTTGATTCCCCCATAATTTAACCCCACCCTCTCTCCAACCCTTACCTTTTACTTCTTTTCCAACTCCATCATAAATATACTAAAAAACCATGGTGACATTACACACCCCTGTCTAAGACCTACTTTTACGTGAAGAAAATCTCCCCCCTCTACACACCCTAACTTGAGTCTCCTATCCTCAAAAAACCCTTTTTTTCATATTTAGTAACTTACTACCTATTTCATACATAGCAATATCTCCCACATCGCCCACTTCCACTGTATCACATTTTCCTCTAAATCCATAAATGCAATAAAACTTTTATCTAAATTTTTTACATACATGCTTCTATGAAAGCACTTGATCTACACTCCCTACCCCTCAAAACCCCTTTGCTAATCTGCATCCACTCTCGTATTTCCTATAATTCTTTCAGTTTTTAACCCACCTACTGTAGGTATACTAAAACTTATTCCCCTAAAATTTTTACAATCTTTCTGTCCCCTTTCCCTTTAGAAAAGGACTAACACGCTCTTTGCCAACCCCTGGGTTTCCCTTCCCCTCTTTCTTACTTTATTTACAAAAATACCAACCCCCCTCCAAACTTTTTTAAAACATTTTGTCATGATCCCGTCAATTCCAGCTGTTTTACCCCCTTTCATTCTACGTAATGCCTCACGCACCTCCCCCACACTCACATCCTTCTCTTCTTTCACTCCTGGAGGGGGAAGGTGATGCTTAGCTCTTATGGAGGAAGGAAAGTGAGCTTTAGTGTTAGTGGAGGAGGAAAGTGAGCTTCAGCTGTTAGGGAGGAGGGAAGGTGATGCTTAACTCTTAATGGAAGGGGAATATGCTTCGCTGTTAAGGGGGAGGGGGAAATGATACTTCCCTTTTTAATGGATGAGGGAAATGTTGCTTCTGTTGTTAATAGAGCAAAATTTTCCCTTTTACGCTAATGGAGAAGAGGAAGCAATGCTCGAAATGTAAATAAGAGGGTAGGTAATGACATTGTAGGGAAAAAGGGAAAAGGAAGAAGGATGGGGAAAAGCAGGAGGAGGGGAGGATGAGGGGAAATAAGGGGAAGGGAAGAGCAGGAGGATAGGGCCGCTTGTAATGTTTTTGGAAAGGTAAGAGGTTGTTTTTTAATGTATTATCAAGGAGAGCTGCTTCTAATATTAATGAAGAGAGAGAGAAGAGAGGGGAAGAAGGGGGAAAAAGAGGAGAAAGAGAGAGAGAAGAGAAGAGAGAGAGGAAAAGAGAGAGAGAGAGGAGAGAGAGAGAGAGAGGGTGTTTTACGACATTTTAAAACCCCAAAAGAACGAGTTTTGGAGTCCACACGCACAACCTGGCTATGAGAAAGAGGTAATTGGCCAGCCCTTTGCTCTCAGCTCGCCACCACCGATTGGAATGCTCTTCTCCAAGGGGATGTTGACAACCAAGTGAAAACCTTCACAGGACACATCCTTAATATACAACAAGAACACATTCCTCACCGGCAATACGTGACGAAGCCTACAGATCAGCCTTGGTTTGGCTTTCGTTGTAGAGAGGCTGCTACTGCTAAGTACAAAGCATGACGAAGGAATAAGAGACATCCTCCCACCTATAACAGGAACTTGCACTGGCAAGCCTGTAGGCATATGGATGACGTTCAAAAGTGAGCCATTGCTAAATGGGAGGTGGACGCAAAAAGAAAGCTAGCATTAGGTAGGGTAGGCTCCAAAACCTGGTGGTCCCTGGTCAAGGACAGACAAGGTTATCTGCCTGATGAACTCATTCCACCTCTAAATCGACAGGACGGGGCCACCTCTACTAGTAGTCAAGAGAAGGCGGACCTCTTTGCCGAACACTTTGCTACCAAAATGCAAGTTCCTGATCCAGCAAGGGACCCTCCTTGGCTAGCTGAAAGAACTGTGTCAAAACTGTCAGCGGTTACAATAAGGCAGGAGGAGGTGCATTCCTTCTTAAATCGGCCCAGACAAGTTGAGCCCAAGATTGCTGAGAAGATGTGCAGATCAGCTAGCAGCACCTCTAACTCGCATCTTTCAGCACTGCCTAGTACAGTGTAAATGGCCCTCTCCGTGGAAAGAGGCAAATGTAGTCCCTATTCACAAAAAGAAGAGCAGAGCAGAAAATCAGCAACTACAGATCAGTCTCACTCCTGTCAATCACTGGTAAGATCCTTGAGACAATATCTCAAGACAAATGACAAAGTTTTTTGACCACCACTCACTACATTGTGGCCGTCAACATGGTTTTAGGAACGATTAATCTGGTGCTGATTTGTTAAACCTCTCCACTAAGTGGCACGAGTCACTGGACGATTCCAAAGTCAGCTGTGTGGTAGCACTGGACTTTGCTGGTGCTTTCGACCGAGTGTGGCACCAGGGCCTCTTAGGCCCCAGGCCGCCGTGTCTGAGCCTAAATACACCAAAAAATCGAAAAAATATGAAAAATGAGTTATTCTTACCAAAAAATAGAGCAAAGATCTGGCAACATTTTGGTGTGCGCCTCGTCTCTGTACGATAATTACATATAAAGCTATCGTAATTATAACAACTACGTCATCAGCATGACGCGGCCCAGCTGACCATAACAATAACACGTGCTCCAGCGCGACTCGCTTCATAAAACAGTATCACAGGTATTTTTTTCCTTTTTTTTTTTGGTGTATTTTTTAGCTAGATCTTCTAAATAGTAACTGGCAACATCAGGTTAGCTGTGAGAAGGAGCTGCTCACACCGTCTCAAGTCAGTGCCGACTGGAAGTCTGAAGGGAGAAGGGGTGTGTCACTTTGTCTGACAGCTGACTACCCTTGGGACGTTACTTTTTGCCTTTCATTGTATACATTTTTGGTACACAATGCCTGCAAAGAAGAAACAGTTTGCCAAGAACATTAGCAGCAAGAGGAAAAGGCACATAGAAGCAATGATAAGGTCTATACAAGCAAAGAGAGCAGCAGCTGCTGTGGTTGGTGACGCCGCCACGATGCTAGTACCACCACGTGGTGACGCCGCCACCATGCTAGTACCACCACGTGGTGACGCCGCCACGATGCTAGTACCACCACCCTCCTCTCAAGACCTGTCCTTGTTCACTGCTACTGAACTATTGGATATTTCACGTTCAGAAACAAGGAAGACAAAATATAGGAGCCCCGCAAATATGCCCACCTCCACCACGGCTGCTACTACCACAACTACTACCACCACGGCTGCTACTACCACAACTACTACAGCGTTGTATAAAAGGCAGAACGCAAAACTGTAATGAAAGTCTGCATCACCGCATATGGTCTTACAGCAATAAAGCCAAATATCAAACCAAGAGGCATGCTGATTTCGCAGTCAGCCATGCTGTTGCTGACTACAATAGTGGATATGTGAGGAGCTGTCTGGACACAGCACTGGGCTACAAACATTCAGCAGTGACTCAAAAACAACTTGAATTAATGGAGAAGAACATGAAGGAACAACGGAAGCAAAGAGGAATGAAGAGGAAAAGGGAGCTGGACACGTCCTACGAGCCTGGAGGACATTAGATAATCATGTGTCCACCTACATCCAGTCATAGGTACGTAATTATTAGTGTTTTTTTGGTATATTTTTATATTGGTATGTGTATAAATATCATATATGGGTGCAATTACATGTATCTGTACATAATCACTGGGAATAATCACTGGGAATAATCACTGGGAATAATCACTGGGAATAAGATTTTGAGAATTCATTTCTTTCTTTTCAGATTGATTGGGATGGATTTTTATGATTGTCCGGCCACCAGAGAACTTCAGGACAAAGGGATCTTCATGGAACTTCAGGAATAATGTCTATATAACCAGTTCTACTCTCAATAAACGTATAAAGGCACTATGAGTATTTTTACCCACTGTATAGTAATGTTCAATGTATTTGTTGATTTTTTTCAAAAGTGCATTTATTTGTATTTTTCTGAGGTAAAACCATTATTTATGAACCGATCATTCTGAATTTTACAAAAGTTATTCAGGGGACCCTGTTTGACTTTGTAATGGAGTTGTCTTGGGTAATAATTTTACAAAAGTTATTCAGGGGAGCCTGTTTGACTTTGTAATGGAGTTGTCTTGGGTAATAATTTTACAAAAGTTATTCAGGGGAGCCTGTTTGACTTTGTAATGGAGTTGTCTTGGGTAATAATTTTACAAAAGTTATTCAGGGGAGCCTGTTTGACTTTGTAATGGAGTTGTCTTGGGTAATAATACCTTCAATTTTGCATAAATTGATGTAAAGTGCAAAAAAAAAAAATTTAAATAAAGTCAAGACATAATAATATTTTTTTGGGTACCATAAAACATGTTATTGCATTATTTATATCCATTAGAAAGTCAATTTGGCATTACTTTATCATTTGTGATTATCAACAATGATTTCGAGATTGCCAATATTGACTTACGTTGCTATAAGTGTTGCCATGTCCAATTTTTCACATTTTTATTTTTTATAACTTTATTTATTGGACGATCTTTATGCAACTTTCATCACATGAGGCTCAATATGCCCAAAGTCTCTGGTAAAAAAATCAACGAAATCGAGCAAAGGAAAAAAAAAAAAATTTAGGCTGCCTGTCACCTTAGACAACTTCAAGCATTGGGAATTGCAGGCTATACGCTATGTCTCCTCAGTGATTGCCTTCATGGTAGATCTCTGACGGTAGTTCTCAATGGAATGGAATCAGCAAGACATCCTATTGGGACAAGTATTCCACAAGGAAGCGTGCTGGGACCATTGTTATGGAATGTCTACTTCAATGACCTTCTTCATCTCATCCCAGAATCCCATGCATATGCAGACGACTGTACATTGACATTCACTTATCCAAGAGAAGAAATGCCAGCTGCTCTAAGCTACATCAATCACCAGCTAAGAGCTATATCAGCTTGGGGAAATAGATGGCAAGTAGCATTTGCACCTGAGAAAACGCAAATGATCGTCTCTAGGCACCATGATGGTAATGCTGGTGCAGTAGTAAAGATGAATGGGAGGGTGTTTGGCACCTGGGGAAGAAGTTGATATCCTTGGGGTGAAATTTGACTCCAAACTGACCATGAAGATCCATGTTGTAAATCCTGCAAACAAGGCAGCCAGGAAGCTTACAGCAAATTCGCCCTATCTCGCATCTGCTTGACAGTAGGGGTTGCAAGATATTGTACGAGGCACAAGTACGCTCACACCTTGAGTTTGCTCACTTTCTTGGTTTGCCTGCCCCCCTCTCATCTGCGACTGCTTGACAGAGTAGAGAACAGAACAGGACGTCTTATCTCTCGCCTGGACCCATCCTGGATAGATCTTCATTTCAGCAACCCCTTCAACCGGGAGGGAAGGGGGGGCCCTTACTGTTTTGTAAAATCCCAAAAATTCCAAGACCAAAACTTATCCATTGGAAGGGAAAAAGTTTTTGAAAGGGGGGGGGGGGGGTTTTTGGTGTTTTTGAAAAAAATTAATATATTAAATGAGGTATGGAAAAATTGTAAGATTAATGATGTAAGAAAAAAAGAATTGAAAAGAAAAGGCCCCCCAAGAGGTAAATTATTTGTTTAAAAAGAAGTTAAAAAATAAAATGTTTTCAAGGGCTGTTTAGGTAACAGCTTTTAGCTTGCCAAAAAATAGGAATCTTAAACCTGTAAATACTTGTCAATAAAGTTTGGATCCTTAAACCTTTGTCAAATCCTGGTAAAAAGGGGTGTGGTGTGTGTGGTGTTGTGGTGTGAGAGAGAGAGAGAAGAGGAGAGAGAGAGAGAGAGAGGAGAGAGGAAGAAGAAGAGAGGAGAGAGTTTTTAACTGCTCGTTTTTGTGAAGAGGAACTCTCTTCTAATTAGTACCCCGGGGAAAGGGCCCTTTAAGCATTGCTAAAATTTTTGTTTTTGGTTTTCTTTTTTCTTCATTCAACATTTAGTAGTAAGTTGGGGGCTTCTTAGTGGCAGTTTAATTGGGTTTGGGGCCCTGCATGTCCGTTTTTTTTATTTTTATTGAAAAAAAATTTTCAATTCAAATTTTTTATGACTTAAAAAGCCCTCTGATTTTTTCAAACCTTTGACAAACACCCAACGGGGGAAGTTTGAACTCCCGGCTCTTCTAATTTTATGACCACTCGCCATGGGGTTCAAACCCCACCCGTTCCTGGTTTGTTTGCCTGTGTTATTACGTTGTTTTGTCCCAATGCCCTGCCGCTCTGCAACATCTCGTCATCCCACGCACGGTGTTGACGCACAGCCATCGCACAGTGACCAAAATCTATCTAGTTTTTTAAAGGCGAAGGAAAATAAATTTTTTTTGTTAATAGGGAAGAGAAAGTAATTCTTCTATGCAGATGTTAATATTAAAGTTAAAATTAAATATTATGTTAATAAGTTAAAATTTAATTTTTAAATTAAAAGTTAAATTAAAAGTTAAATTAAATGTTAAAATTAAATGTTAATATAAATATTATGTTAATATTGATGTTAATATTTAAAAGTTTTTGTTAATATTAGATTTAATATTTAATTTAAAAATTAGATGTTAAATTAAATGTTAAATTAAAAAGTTTTGTTAAAATTAGATGTTAAAATTGATGTTAATATTAAATGTTAATATTAAATGTTAATAAAAGGTTTTAAAAATAAAAGTTAGCTAAAATTAGGTTTGATATTTGACGTTAATATTAAACGTTAAAATTAAAAAATTAATATTTAAAAGTTAAAGTTAATTTAATTTAATATTGATTTTTTATTAAATGTTAAAAGTACTGTTACGTTAAAAATTAATTTAAAATTAAAATTGAGAATACAAAAAAAAATTAATATTTTAAAAAAAAAGTTTTTTAAAAACATTTTTCTACATATGCAAAAATTTAAAGCAAAATTTTATTTTCACAAATAAAAAATATCAAAAACTTAAAAAATATTAAAAAACATACATAAATATTAAAACAATCCAAAAAAGACTAAATAAGCACAAAATAATAGCATTTTTTGAAATACTTATAATGTTCATCATTAAAAGATAGCATTCATTGAGGAAAGATAAAAGTTGCTGGTTTGTAAATTTATGTAGAGGGAAAAAATGAGAAATAAAAAATGAAATCAGAAAGGGGTTAGGGGAATGGATGTTGGAGAGATGAACAAAAAAAAAGAAATTTGATTTCATTGAAAAGAGGGGGGGAGAGGGAGGGAGGAGAGAGAGAGAAGAGAGGAGGTATTAGTAAAACTTCATATGCAGGCGTCAGTTTAAAGTGTGATTGCCTGGTGCTGGTTAAAGGTGTCAGAGTGTGAGTGTGCTGTATACTCTGCCCTGAGTGAGTGAACTTTATGTTAAATTAGTGGTGTATTAGAGAGTGAAGTGAAGTCAGATTATTGGTGAAGTCGTCATTGTTTTTGGGGTTATAAAACGATGTGGCATAGTTGATTGTCATGTTTAAATGTGTTATGTTA